GTAGTGATCTTGAAATCCATTTATGCGCTTCACTACTGCCAAGCAAGGGTAACTAGCAAGAACCAGTAACTAGTAACTGCTGGATTTGCTCGGGTTTAGTGCGTGAATGGAGGAACTCGGTCTTAAAGGGTTAAGTGGCTGCTGGGAAGGTTCTAGAAGCTTCACTCGGAGGCAAGGAGCTTGACTGCAGACAGGCGTCTCTGTCTCTGTTGCCTTCGTTTTCATCTCTATTAAAATAGAAAAGCCAGACGTGATTACACTCTTGGGAGGCCGAGGTGAGGGGATTGCTGCAAATTCCAGGCCAGTCTGGGCGACATCGTGAGTTCAAGGCCAGCCTAAACTACATAGTGAGGCCCTGTCCCGAGAACAGAACCAAAACATAGCAGAGCTCCAGCTGTGTGTGAGAAGTAGCAGGATTCTATTCCACGCATCTCTGGAGAGTGGCTTTGTACAAGTTGAAGTGGCTGCTTTTACTCACAGATGTTCAAGTTCGTTATCACTGAAGGTCAGTATGGAAGTGAAGTTTACTCCATGATACAGCCATGTGCCTTCGTTGTGGGGGGGCTGTCACACTGGCCACTCCTGTAGTAGTACCTGTCCCAGCATGTGGACAGCCAGGACATTTCCCTCGTCATCCCACAATACCCTTGTGTGAAGTTTGACTTCACCATTCTTGCAAAACAGAAAAAGACAAAAAAAAAAGACTCTCTCCACCTCAACACTTCTATCCCAAATGCTTCTCTCCCTGATTCCTTTCCCTCCACTTCCTAGATTAAGGAAGCTCCTGGAGACTGACGTTGGACACTGGAGTCCCTCACACATAGGTTTGATTTTCTGGGCCAGGCGTATCACTTCAGACAAGTTCGCTTCTCTGAAACACATTTTCAAAGCCTTTCATTGTGAGGTCATCAAGGAATCCCACAGGGGGGACATATTTTTTGGTGGCTCCCAAAGCTTTTTCCTCCTATGCAGGACTCTGGTTGGTCAACCCAAGCCAGAAGTCTTGCTTCCAATGGTCAAAGGCTCTTCCCAGTTTACTGGTGATACAGGAAGGATTCTTTTAGATGTGCTCTTTTCTGTCCTTCAGACAGGTGGCTATATAACCTCCAGCTGGAGGTCAGCCAGACCACGCGGCCAGAGATGGGGTCCCCCACCCCCTTCCTCACCCCATCAGCTTGGCACAGAGGGTGGCTTCTAGGACAGTGGGCACGGGGGGCTGAGGGAAAAATCAGGGTGCAAACTTTCACTTAGAAGTCAACTCCAGGGTGAGAGCTGCAGCCCGGGTGGTGATGGCCACGGCAACTGGTGGTGATCATTGCACGTGTGTTTACACACGTTTATCAGGTCCTTGAGTTGTGCACATCCACTGCCTTCATTTGTCAAGGAAATACTTTAAAAGGAAGCTTCTGTAGGACAGTTCCATCACCACCCACCGGAGGAAGGTCTGAGGTCCCTCTCCTCCGTCCTCCCATTGGGGCAGGGAGGGCCTGGGGGTCTGGGGAGGCAGTGGCCCCAGGTGCACTTAGGGTGGGGCCTAAATTTCAGTGATCAAGATAAATGCTGTCATGCAATTGTTTCAAAAACCAAAGCGAATGCAAAAGAGGTTCACAAACAAAACTTGCAAACTTAAACACAGGGTCGAACTCTGCACTTGCACAACCTACCTCGCTCCCATGCCAGGCCAACTTCCGATAAAACCTGGTTACAAGAGCAAAGTGAATTCTCCCAGAACACACAAACACAAAGTGAGGGGACGTGGATGAGCTGTGAGGTCAGGGTTTACTGATTTTATTTATTTAGGTACTGGGAGCGAACTCAGGACCTTGTGCTTGTGAGGCAGGCAAGGTGCCACTGAGCTACATGCTCAACCTGATTTTATTAACATAGTGCATTAAAATACTGTTGCTTCTCAGCTGGGTGTGGTGGCACACTCCTGTCCAGCACTCTGGGAGGCTGAGGCAGGAGGATCGCAAGTCTGAAGCCAGCCCGGGCAATTTAGCAACTTAATAAGACCCTATCTCACAATGAAAAATAAACAGGGCTGGAATGTAGCTCAGTGCAGAGGCCCTAGGTCCGGCCCCCAGTACCTGCTCCTCTCCCAGCTCTGAAGGGACTGAGGAGCCCGTGCAGGTGAGGATCGTGGATAGTACCTCGCCCAGGGTTAGGACTCTGGTGTCACTTTGTCATGATGGTGACAGGAATCGAAGCTCATCCTGTTTCCTGAAGAAATTCAATTCAGGGATAAAGAAAAGAAAATATCTTTTCTAGAGTATCTAGGAGGTAGCAAGAAAACTCCAGCAAAAGGGCCAAGAGAACCCGACTGGGATTCTGTACTCCGGGGATCATCAGCTAAGCTGAATAAAAGATGGAAAGGATCTAGCTTTTCTCAGTCCCTGCCCCAGAACTCACCTTCCTTAGGAGGCCCAAGAAATTCAGATTTGCCACAGCCTTCCATTGCCTTTATCCTAGGTCAGTGACCCTGTTGCTCATCCCTAGGGGTCAGCAAGCTGTGGGCCTCCAAATCATGGCCTGTTTTGTGAAGTTGTGTGTGTGTGTGTGATACTGGGAGGGATTGAACCCAGGGACACTGATCTACATCCCCGGTTTTTTTTTTTTTTTGGTACCGAGGATAGAATTCAGGACCCTGTACTTGTGAGGCAGGTGACACCACTGAGCTAAATCCCTGGCCCACCCCAGCCCTTTGGTGAGACAGGGTTTCTCTAAGTTGCCCAGGCTGGGCTTGAATTTTCTATTCTCCTGCCTCAGTCTCACAGAAAGCTGGGAACTACAGACATGTACCGAACGCTCAGTTTATAAATAAAGGTTTATTGGCATACAGTGATGCCCCTGCCTTTCCCTGTTGTTGACAGCTACTTCAGTTATGGCAGCAGAGTGGAGAGATTGTGCTGCAATAGCAGAGGTAAACAGACCTAAGTGGTCTCCACAGGGAATGGGGCCAAAAATCCCCAAATATTTACTATTTGTTCTTTTTCCAAAAAGGCGCGCCAGCCCCTGGCCCAGGTGAAGTCGAAGAGAAAACCTATTCCTTCATCAATCCCTCTTGCAGCCTGACTCCACTGACGGGGCTGGCATAGAAACTGCCACCTTGGCCTCTGTCATGCCTGCAGCCCTTTACCAGTAAAGCTGTTTCCCCGATTTGGGTCATAACTGTCTATACTTTACGCTTCACCTCAGCAGGTGCAGGCTGCTCACCCCAGCTCCTGCACAATTCTATTTAATCCCATTAACTGCCACCTCCTAATTTTCTTGCCCATAAAATAGGGTTAAACCACCTCTATTCCTTAAAGTTTCCTAGTGTTAGGTTTCCCTCAGAGCTGTTTTCTAAACCTCAAAATCCTTGCCAGCCTGCTATACTGGAAATGAATCCAGGGCCTCATGCACCGTTAACCAAATATGCTCCATTGTTAAGCTTACAGCCGCCGCCCTTTAAAACTTTTTTTCAATAGGGTTTTGTTAAGTTGCCCAGGCCGGTCTTGAACTCACGATTCTCTTACTTTGGCTTCCTTACTTTGGCACAAGAATGTGCCATCACACCCAGAAGCCTTATTCTCTCATTTTTAAAACAAATCCTACTTATGTCTGTGGCAGAGAGTTCAGCCTCTTTTAGTATGTTCTAGTAAGTCACTCTTTCCAGTTCTGATCAAAACGCTACACAGGAGGGTGTGGCACATCTGATCTGCCACCTTCTTTTTTGTGACATTTTATTGGACACGGCCATTTTTTTTTTTTTTTTTGGTACTGGGGATTGAACTTGGGTCCTTGTGCTTGCAAGGCAGGCCACCGAACCACTGAGCTAAATCCCCGGCCCTATGTTCTTTTTTCTTGTAGTCTTCTAGTTGCTTTTGTGCTAAAGGCACAGAGCGGAGTAGTTACAAAAGAGAGTTTCAAACCCACACTGCCTAAAATATTTAGGACCTGGCCTCAAGCCTTCTGCCTTACCTCTGCTGTACTGGGAATTCAAATTTGCTGAGCGATACCAGGTTGCACCTGAGGCCCCTGAAGTCCACATAGCCGTGAACAAAGCTGCCTGTGGAGGTGGCGTCCTTCCTGTTTATCTGAAGTGCTGTAATGCCCGACGAACAAGAGACGCTTGTGTGATTTCCATCTATGAGTTCCCACTTGAAAGGTCAACAACCTTCTGTTTCTATAAATGCAGATAAGACTCCTGACAAATAGCAGAGAGGTAATAACAGTGTGTAGAGAAGCCCTGGCATCCAGGATCCCAGCGCTTTTCTGACCAAAAACAATAGTCCCAAAGCGAAGCCATCGGGCACCTGTACCATTTCAACTTTTTCTTCTTCCACTAGAGGGTCAGCGGTGCACGTCCCCCTGCCTGCTGCAGAGCTCAGGTGGACCCAGGGTTATTCAGCTGGCCGACACAAAATAATCTTTGTACCTCTTGCTAGTGCATGAGCAAAACATCGCCTACATTCAATCCATAGCATTCTTTCTCCTAGTGTATACCAGGAACGATACTTAGTCCATTCCAACAGCAAAACTGTTCGGCTTAACAAAGGCACGTAAGAATTTGTATTAAGCAATGATATGAAGAAAAGATGCCAAAATAGGACAAACAAAGCAACTCTGAATAGATGATACTGGAAAGCCATCGCCTCCTAAACCTTAGCTCAAGGGTACGAGGTGGTTAGATTTTCACCTCTGTGTTATGCCGCACACACTAAATGCTTTCTGAGTTGTTTCACACATCACACATCCCAGAACCAAGCCCAGGGCTCAGTGGGCCCCTAGACTTTCCCCCGCTGAATACAAACAGGCAAGTTTCCAATTTTACAGCCCACAAACACGGGCTGGGCCAGCGTTAGCTTGATCTTTGGCGCCACCTCCAGGTCAGAATGCATTTCCCCTCGCGGCAGGACCGCGAGAAAGCCCGTGTGCATTTAACGAGTTACTGAACGGGAGAACCCCCCTCCCCATGACCGTCTCTAGAGGAATGGCCATCAGTCTGCAGCTGAGTTTGCCCTTTTATTATAAAACATAAAAGAAAGCACACAAACGTGTCGCTGATAACCACCATCCAGGTTAAGAAATAGAACTTTCCCGTCACTGCAGACCCTCCACAGGTCCCATCCTCTTAACCCTTCCCATGGTCCACCTCAGGTTAGCTCCAGATGTCTGTGCTGGCTAACTAAACAACGCCGTCAGAGGCGATCAATTTTAAAGGTGGCCTCCGCCACGAAGACGCTCTCCCTCCCGGACAGATCGCGGCTCAGTGGTCCCTGCATTTGATTGGGCAAGACAACTTGGCCAGGTTCTTCTTGCAGGGAAGACAGCACCACAGTGTCGCTCTGGCCTCTGTGCTCACACCACGGTCACAACGAGCACCGCTGCTGGGGGCCGCGGAGGTTGGGCCAGACCCGACGGCCACAGTCCTCCCTCCATGGCCTCTCTGTGGACCCCCACTTGAGAGCCTGCTCTGGCCACACTAGAGGTCATGGCTGGGCTCCAATGGCGCCTCGAGCTGCCCCACAGAGACCAGGGGGCCGAGCTGCACCGGGGCAGTGCCTTCAGGAGGGAAGGTGACCAAGTTCGAGTTCTTGTTGTCACTCTGGTCGCTGTGCTGCTTCCGGTGGCATCTCAGAGAGTCGTCCCTGACAAAGGAGGCGCCACAGGTCTCGCAGCGGAAGGCCCTCGGGGTCACTATCTTGGCCACGTGGTGGGAGCCACTCTCTCTGGGCGCCTCCTTGCCCTGCGGGGCCCTGTTCTCCGTCTTGGCCTCGTCCCTGTGCATCCTGTCAATGTGCTTGGCCAGGCTGCTGGGCCGCTTCGTGTCGAAGCTGCAGAAGTCGCACTTGAAGGGGCGGTCCTTGCAGTGGACGCGGCTGTGCACGCGCAGGGCGGCCGCGCTGGAGCAGGAGTAGCTGCACTCGGGACACTTCTCGGGGTGGTCGGCCTGGTGCAGCCGGCTGTGCTCCAGGAGGTCGGCCCGGTCCCGGCCCTGGAAGGCGCAGTGCAGACACTTGAAGGTGTGCTTGATGCGGATGTGCGACTTGAGGTTCGCTTTCATGGTGCAGCGGACGTCGCAGAACTCGCACTTGAAAGGCTTCTCCCCCGAGTGCACGATCATGTGTCTTTTCAAGTCCGAGCTGATTTTGAACTTGGCGCTACAGAGCCAGCACTGGAAGGGCGTGTCTCCTAGCAACGGAAAGTGGGTTTCCATTAGAGCTGGCCGCAGGACGGAGCTCCCCCCAAACATGGCTACATCAAGGTGAGTGGGTCCTGTGAAATCCACCTATCTGCTACTTCTTGATAATGGCAACACTTACCGTGTGGATTAGCTCCACCCGCACAGCAGCCAGGAGTTCAGTTACCCCCGTTTTACAAATGGGGCAACTGAAGATTGGAGGTGAGGTAGCAGAGATCTGAACTCGGGCCTCTGATGGCGTTTGAGTTTCCAGGGTAAACTCTCATAATTGACTTCCCAGAATTGAATGTGGGAGAGGTGAGAAGCAATATACAAGTTCTCCAAATACAGCTCAGAATTATGGACGTGCTTACTGCAGTATTTACGCTGCATCATACCACTAGACTGGCTTGTTACTAAAGCTTGCTAGTTTTATTAACTACAGGTTACTTCTGGTTTATAAAATGAACACAGGAGTATGACAGCAGGAGTGCAGGCAAATAATAAAAAGCCATACCCTTGTCTCTAGAGTCCTTTCTCTGAAGCCATTGCTAAATATTTTCAGGCATTTGGGGGGTTTTTACTTTTTCATTAGTGGACTATACGTAGGGCCAAGAGTCTTGCTTGTCTTACAGAGCCAGCTGCTTCCTGCGTACTGATGCTTGTGATCCCTGCTCTTTAGGGTTACTTTTCTTTTTCTCTTTTTTTGTGGTGCTAGAGATTGAATCTAGGACCTTGTACATTGCCAGGTTGGCCTTGTATTTGGGATCCTCCTGTCTCAGCCTCCCAAGTAGTTAGGATTCCAGGAATGTGCTGTTGCGTCTGGCCTTGTGTTACCCTTTCTGAACTGAGCAATAATCTTATACCCTGGTCTATCAGAATGAGAAGTTCTTTGAAGATCTCTCTCTTCTTTATACTAACTTTGCACTTTTTAGGAATAGCTTTATTTTTACATTTCAATTTAAAGAATGTCCATTCTGCCCTGTGAATTCTTACACATAAGTCATTCTCAGATTTCAACTTTAAAACCAAACTACAACTAATTCAAATTAAGACCAAATATGTGATATTCTCCAAGGCCAAACACTGGCAAGATCACAATCACCTCCTCATAGGGCCACTTTTGTATCCTGGATGGTGGACAGTGGCATTATCATCAAGGATACATTGTCATCTCTCCTTCCTGCTCACGCAGAAGTACATTTTACCTTGCTTCTTGATTGCAAAAAAAAAAAAAAAAAAAAAAAAAAAAAAGAATCTCACATAATCTCAGAAGTCATCCAGTCTTTTAATTATATAACTTTTCACATAGAATTTTAAATGGTTTTCCTGAGTTTCTTATTTACTTTTCTCATTTAATATTCTTTCCAAGTATCATATTTCTCTTTGCCATGATCCCAGGTAATTATATTTAGATCTTCATACATAAAATATTTCATGCCAGTTTCATTTTCATCAGTTTTACTAGGGCAGATGTTCTGGTAACTTAATTGTGGTGACTGGGAATAGCATCTTAAGCCCTTGCTTATACTCGATTCCAGGCTCCCACAGAGATAGGTTAGCTGGGTCCAAATTCAAAATTTGAAGCAATTTTCCAACTTTGAGGACACCTTTCCACTGTCTCTAGGAACCAAAAGTGCAAAACATCCTTCTAGGTATGGCTCTCTCCTTCTAGCTTCATCCTGACTGGCGTATCGTGAGCTCTCTCATTCTTTCTAGCCTCTTAGAATTGTGAAGATTATTTGACTTTCTCATGCCTCTTTTCTTTCCTTCCAGGCCTAACAGGAAACTAAAGTTCCACCTTCTTGTTCTTAATTCTCTAAAAAGAGTTTTGTTTTGTAATCTCTGGGAAATTTTATTAAACAGCTAGCAGCCAGTTTCAATGTATGCCTCTTTGTTCTAGGTCTTTATAGAACTATTTGCAATGTAACATTTCTGCCAGAGGTGGACATCCAACTAGAATGCAAAAGTTTTTGTCTATTGCCAACATACTCTCGATGCCGGGATTATTTGTTAGAGTTGCCACACATTTTCTGTAAATGGCTCAGAACCCTTGCTCGACCATATTTAGAAAGGCAGGCAGGTTTAAGGATGAGACACAGATGTCATGACTGCTACTGAGCAGGTTGAGCAGTTTTGCCAGAAGGCTTTGGCTTTTGCCTGTGCTCTGTGGCCTTATCTATGTGTCCCTTCCAAGAGGCTGTCAGGGCACTCAGACACTGGCTGGAAGGGCGGTTCCCAATTCCACAGCTGCTTGCATTCGCCTGCTACCAAACAGCTCCATAGACTCACATTTCAACGTGAGCATGTTCTTGTCTGCTTAACATCGCCCATGAATTCACTGAAATGCTATCTCGTGAGCCTCAGGAACGTCCCAATCCTCTTACCTTTCCACGTCACATGAAGTCGGTCCTATGTAGCTTCTGTTGTTTAGGTGAAGTCCCACAAAGAGGAAAAAAAGCTTCTAGAACTAGAAGTTTGTAATTTATAGTGCCAGTCAACTCACTTCCCTGTATTCCTGAATTAAGCCACGCAATCGGGGTATAAATCAAAATACGGAGATGTCTAGTTGATAGGTCAGATTTTTGAGATATATCCTTGGTCACCTGGCTGTTGTATTTGGTATCGGTCCCCAGATGGATTCTATATACTGCATGAACTTATACAACTCAACTTTACTGGAGCTGTCATTCTGGCAGTGAAAACCTGGACAAGCCTCATAGTCACAGATTCTACATCCCTCCGCGTCTACCACCAAGCGATTTAAGTTGCCTGCATCTTAAGTAAAAGAAAGTTCAGGCATTAAAGAGCAGTAAGGTCCCGAGTCTCTGGGCAGGGGCTTACCGGTGTGGGAGCGCAGGTGCACCGTGAGCTGGCTGGAGTTGCGGCTGGCGTAGGGGCAGAGCTGGCACTTGTAGGGCCGCTCGTCCGAGTGGATCCGCAGGTGCTTCTTGAGGCTGCTGCTGTCCACGGCAGCATAGTCACACAGGTGACACTTGTGTGGCTTCACACTTGTGTGGCACCGCATGTGCATGGTCAGGTTGTCTTTCCGGCTGAAGCACTTGTCGCAGAACTCACACTTGTGTGGTTTGTCTCCTTCAAACACAGAAGGGTTCAGAGTTTTAAGGGTTTCTCGATCAGGATGCTGTGAAGTCTTGGGCACATGGGCCTGCTGCCTCCTTCTGTCCCAATGCCCGGACACAGAAAAACGAAGTCTAAATTGGTAGAATGATAATATTTTTATTTTCACTCTCTCTAATTGTAATTTAGCATTTTGCACAAATCTGAACACAGGCAGTAAACTATGCTGATAGCAGGACTTGGGGCCTTTGCTGTACATGTGAGACAGGGTCTTGTCACACGGCACCCGTGGCACTTTCTCCCAATGTTGCTCTGCAGTTTACACCCCGGCCATGAGAGCCGGACTTTAAATGCAGGTGAGGCCTGTGCTACCGCGTACACCATCACTGCTGCAGAGAGCCTCTCAAAGTCTGGATTCCGACCCCGTGGGTCCGGTGGGGCCTGGGATTCTGCACTCTGACTCTGACAGACTCCCAGGGAGCCTAGCAGATTGGATAGCAGGGATTTGATGCATTAAAATATCACACATTTAACATTTGGAGAGCAATGACATCAAAATACAGCTTTAAAATGTGGCATATCTTAGGCATTGAAAAGCATCATTCTGAGAAGGGTTATAGGCTTTCCCACATCGCCAGGGGTCCATGCAGAAAAATAAGACTGATAACAACTTTCACTGGGGTTCTGACAGTGGCTGCTCTGCCGGTGGGGTCCATGAAAGGAAGTCCTGAAAAGCACGGCTGTGGGGCGCGCTGTGTGAACAGCAGTCCACAGCTGCTCTGTCCACCGCTCCACCTGACTCCCGTGTGCCCAGGACCAGACATCCACGTAGTACGTAAGGGTGAAATCACCCACACTTTCTAGGAAAGTGATGCGACAGTCATTTCAGTGCTTGACAGCATAGGGAAAGATGTGAAAACTATGCTTTGACTCATTTTAAAGGAGGCACCTGATGCCAAGGGCAGAAGTACAAAGTAGGAATAACGATATCAACATTAGAAGCCTACTTCTCCTATAAGGCGAAGTAAATGTCTCAGGTCCATTTCAAGAGAGCACAACATTTGAAATTTAATCATCATTCCTAAGTACACATCACACCACCACGGATGCCTAGGAATAACAATAGACTTTTTAATGTGATAAATGATCAAGATAAGAAGCCCAGGGATTCTAACCTTAAAATAGTGGCTGAGTCAAAGCATTTGCCCCCCAAGAAATAAGACAGAGATGGTTTACTTTCACCACTACTCTTCAATCTGGACTCAGCAGCAAAAGGCAATGCACTCAAGATCAAGAGAAAACCCGCGGTCTCCATGTCTGCTTTGCAGAAGAATCAGCTTGAACTACTGGAATAATAAATGGGAGGACAGCAAGGAGACTGGGGATAGCACACACCTCATGTTTTGTTTTTGGTATCTGGGGATTGAACTCACGACCTTGTACTTGTGAGCCAGGCACTGGTGCCACTGAGCTAAATCCCTGGCCCAGTACACAACTCATTTTAACATAGTTTCGCCTCTTACAGCACTCTATAAAGCTTCTACTGTCCTCTCTCATACATCCCCAGTCCACATTTTGTTTTTTTGCTACTGGGAATCGAATTCAGGACCTCACGCTTGCAAGGCAGACACAGTGCCACTGAGCTAAGTCCCCAGGGCCCCCAATCCACATCTTTGCCCTAACGATAACCATATTTCTCTTTCTGAACTGGGAGATGGGGAAGGAGGGTGTAGTAATGGATAAATCACTGGGATATATGGGGGCCTGTGATTCACTATTTTAATTTCAGCCAGCCTGATGGATACAATGAAGTATTTGAATTTAATTTGTACTTCATTGCTGAGGACCTTTTCATGTGACTTACTAGCATTTCTATTTCTTAGGTGTCTGTTCATATCTTTTGCCACTAGAGTTAGTTATCTTTCATTTGAAGAAGTCTTTATATGTTCTGAAAAGTAATTCCGTGCTCTGTTACAAATTTCCTCTTGTGGAACACTTGTTTTAATTTTTTATTGGTGTCTTGTAATCTTTCATCTAATAGTATTTGATCAATTTTCTTCTAAGTAGTTTGACTGCCCACTTATACGACATATCTGCCCTCCGACAGTTACAGGCTTGAGTGTTTCAGTTGCTCCCCTTGGAATGGAGAAGTGAAGCCTGTAATATTTACCCTAACAGACCATGGACTGTCCCACAGCTGTCTCTCCTCCCTGCTGACCTCAAATGCCACCTGGACCAGGGTTTCGAACTTGCCCTCCCTGCATACCCATTTCCATACTCTATTCTGTTTCCTATTTGCTTATTACAATTCTACTACCACACTATTTGAATCCTAGTTTTTTGAGACGGTCTCACTACGTAGTTGAGACTGCCCTGGAACTCACTATGTAACCCAGGCTGATCTCAAACTCACAGCGATCCTCCTGCCTCAGCTTCCGAGTGCTGGGATTACAGGCCACCATGCCCGGCTTGAATCCTAGTTCTATTATAGACAGCTAAGTTGGGTAGAAACATCATAGGCAGCACACAGGGCTGGGCCCTGGAGGGAGTCAGTGCAGAAGATGAGAACACATCACAACTGCGGCGGGAGATGCATCTGTCGAAGGCCAGGGCCTCAAGATAAAAGACAGAATGACCAGGCCTACACGCTTCCCCAAAGCATGAGATCATTGGTATCAGTTCCATGGTATTTTAGTTTCTAAGAAAGTAAAAGGTCTTAATGTCTAGGAATTTGGCTACTTTTGTACCTTATTTCCTTCAGGTGTATTTTGTTATTGAGAAAGCAGGTATGGATATGGAGGTAGCAAAGAAACTCATTCTGTTGCTAAATTCAAACAATATTATTTTACTGAATTATTAAAAAAATTTGAAAACACACATTACATACATACATGGGGTAATCAAAATATAGGGTAAATGTTTAAATTTTAAAAAGGTATTTAGTAAAGAATACTTTGCCCTTAACCCTCACTTTGAACACACTTATCCCACCCTTTTTGCCATCCTCTGAAGCCGCTCTGGAAGTCCTCTTTTCTAAGTGTCTTTATGAGGTATGAGAAAAAAAAACAACCCACGGTGAATGTCACCACCAAGTGCCATCCAATGAAAAGGCAGGTGTGAAAACACTACAGCTTGTCCTCCTTTACCTTACCGGATGTGGCCCTATAGGACTCCTGGCTCTTCCTTGAAGGAGAAATGACCATGAAAGGTAAATGTTTTGAATCCATTCAGAGCATCAAGGCAGCCACAAAAGGGAAACTAAAGATATTCATGAAAGAGAACTTCCGGAACCGTTCCAGTAAAGTGGCAAGAAGGGTGGGACAAGCATGTTTGAAGTGAGGGGGAATATTTTGAGAGGGCTACTGGAAATAGGTTTTACTGTAATAATTTTTAATTAAAATGTTCACCATGTTTCACACACACACACACACACACACGATTATATATGATATGACTGAGATTAAAACTGTTCTTAATTCTCCATCCAGAAACGATGTTGATATGTGTCTTCCAGTCAATATTTTACATGGAAAATAGAAATAAAATGTTTTATTTTGCTCTTGCCCTCTTCTACTGCCCCCTCTATTTCTATTTTGTGACTAGAGGCATCCCTAGTCCATCAACGTGATGCTCTAAAAGTTTTTAATTCCAGAGTATTTGGATTTTCATATTGGGATACTCAACTAGTAAAGTCCATGCAAATATTCTAAAATGTAAAAAAAACAAAAACAAAAACCCTCCAAAATATGAAATGCTTCTGGCTCAAGCATTTTTGACAAAGGATAACTGACCTGCATTTAATTTTTCTGAGGTAATCAATGATATTAACAAAATGGATTTTTTTCCCTACAGTATAATGAAATGGATCAATGTTTTGCAAGAAATTGCACAAATTGGTAAGCGAGTATTTCCCAAATGACTAATGTGAGATCTGACAAAAGCAAGCACTGGTAAAAGCCACTTGAGGTGCAAAAGAGACCAGTGGGTTTGAGTTGAAATTTGAAAAAGTCACTGACATGGCTGCAGATTCCACACAGCAACGAACCCTTCAGAAGCGACCCTTGGCTGTGTGTTTGGGGAGAACCACTCCTAACACGTGAGGTCAGATCTTCACACACGTGTCACTGCCAACCAACATGACGCGTGGCAAGGGACTGCATGCAGAAACAGACACAAAAGTAGGGCCAGCTGAAGTGAGAGACTTGCAAAAGTATAAACAGTGCTACTTTTCAATACGTTTGCCTTGAAAAACAGATACTTTTCATAAAAGTATTATGTTAATATCTAACAGGCTTATCGTTTTCAAATGAATTTTTCCAGTTTTAGCTTCACTCTCTAATATTGCAACAGAGATGGAAGAGGAACAAAACTTGATGGGAGCCTTTCTTCAGGTCTTATGTGTAAAAGGATCTGGAAACGATGGTCACAACGGATGCTACTTCCGGTCATGCCCTGAGGGAGGGATGCCGGGAGCTTTCCAGGCCCATCTCCTACTTTCCATTCATTAGTAAGGAGACACCAAGAACTGGAGCAGTTGTCCTGCATCCAAAGATACAGCCTAAGCTTACATCTGCTAGAGAAGCAATCTATCTGACATTTGCCTCTCTGACTGGGGGCCAAGGCCTTCCCTGTACTTCCTGTGTCCCCAGCATGCTTTGCGGTATGCCATTAAAACACTGTTAGTCCAGCTCCGGCACCTCTCTCTAGGTAAACCTTGGCACTGTGAATATTTCCGGGCTTGCGGTGTTCTGTGCATTAAAAGATTTAAGCAGCACCTCCAGCCTCTCCCCACTAGATGGCAGCAGCACAGCCTCAGCTGAGAACGACCTCTCAAATAACTCACCGGAGAGTTACCCACTCTCAAGAGGCTTAAAGCGGTCATATTGGTAGAATCTTCTCACTTTCCCTCCCAAATTGCTCCTAAAATCCTCCTGACAGCCGTGTCTGTGGGGCTAAGGACCAAACATGTCATCGAGAGAAGGAAATGATCTACCCTCCCCAGGCAAAACCGACTTTCCGTTCTGATTTCTATCAGACCATGGCCCTTTCTGGCAGACTACTAGTTAGTTGCCCAGAGGGCTCTCTCCCCTCAGGGCTGGGGCTCTGCAGGTGGAGCGCATTCCCAGTCCTCCTCCATGCCTGGTGTGGCCACAGTTCTCTTCTGCATACATCCCATGAGGACAGGAAGAGCTAGCTGCTCCTGGGCCCTGGCTGCAGAGTGCGATACTGTGGGTGCCGGAGGCCTCGCTCCTGCTTCCGGCTCATGAAGATATTCAGAGGGCTGGAGCAGCTGCCTTGGACCCGGAGGCACTGTGCGTTAGCATGGCCATGTCTTGGGACACAGAGGGTGACTTGCTGCAGCTTCTTATTTCATTCATTCATTCCATTATGAGGGGGCTGAGCTCAGGGCCTTTGTGCTGAGCAACCCCCTCCTCTACCACTTGTGAGATAGGTCTTGCTAAGTCCCCAAGTTGCTGGGCTTGAGCTTGGAACACACCTGCCTCAGCCTCCCAGAGTGCTGGGATTATAGATGTGCACCACCCTACCCAACTGACAGTTTGCTTCTTAAACTGTGCTTGAAAAATGAAATAAACCCCATTATGTTTAAGCCACAGAACCTGGACTCCATGAGAGCAAACACACCAACACCCTTGCTTGTACAGGCATGTATAGGTTTTATCCTCTAAATGAAGGGTTGCCAATATTTTTTTGTAAAGGGCCAGAGAGAACTATTTTAGGCTTCTTGCCCTAAAATTATTGCTCAGCTCCACCCCTGAGGCTGGAGTCCGCAGATCTCTGCCTCAGACCATGGCATTCCTGCCTTGGTTTTGCATGTCTTATCTCTCTGTCCTGAAAGGATGCCTTCAAGCAGTGATCTTACCACCCTCCCCAGGATTCCTGCCCGTCCTTTGCCAATCTCTTCCTCCTGTCTCCTCCACTTCCTGTCCCAAGCCCACCTCTGTAAGCCAAACTTCCTGTTGTTTACCTAGCCCTGAACCCATATCCGCTTCCTTACCGAACTGCGGAACAAAGGAACGGCTACCTACCCGTGTGGATTCGAAGGTGGCGGTCCAAGTCTTTCATGCCATGAACAGTTTTGAACTGGCAACCTAGCAGAGAAGAGAGAAAATGCAGCTCTTAACATCTATGCAGTCCCCGGCTTGTCATGGCTTGACCTACGATTTCTTGACCTTACGGTGTGGTCGTACTCCCATACAACCGTTCTCTTTTCGCTTTCAGTATGGTAGGCAATAAATTCCACGAGGTCCCATATTTTATTAGAAAACAGGCTTTGTTTTATAACAAATAGAGACTGCCCACATGTCACCTAAGGTAAGTGGTGTAAGCACGTTTAATGCAGGCTCGGATAGGTTAGGAACATTCAATGCATTTTCAACTTCAAGTGAACTGAGCAGGATGAGACTCTTAAGTCGAAGAGCCTCACAGAAGCTACTCTGCACCCGGGGACCTGAGGCTCTGGGAATCCCATGCTGAGCTGTGGACTCTCGGGACAGAAGAGCCTGAAGGAGGTCAGGTGGGCCGTGGAGATTCTCACCCACGTGACCGTTTGAGAGCAGCGTGGAGCTGAGTGTGGATTGTGCGCAGCCTGCGCCTCCACGTGCCAGGGTTTACGTCTTACCTGGGTAGCAGCAGTTGAACGTCCTCTCTCCAAGGGTAGCCGAGGGTTCCCTTGCCTCAGAGGGAACAGCGATGGGAGGGGACTTCTGGGTGTCACCACCTTCCGTGGAGAGGCCGCTTGGTTTTGGCATGTTGTCACCTAGCTCAGAAGCTGCAATTGAGGCATGAAGTTTCACTTATTTTTTTTTCCCCAAGTCAAACCACCAAGGTAAGTCCAACAATAAGTCTGAGCTTATTTCATCTTCCATCACCAGCTCTTCAAAGGTATTTTGAAAAATGCTATCTTCTTTTTTTTTTGGTACCTGGGATCAAACCCAGAACCTTGTGCGTGTGAGACCGGTGGTAGAACCACTGAGCTAAATCCCAGGTGCAATATTTTGAAAAATGAACCATGTAGTCAGGCCTGTAATCCTAGCAACTGGGGGGCCAAGGCAGGAGGATCATAAGTTTGAGCTCCGATTGGGAAACTGAGACTCTGTCTTAAAAGAAAAAATAAAAAAGGGCTGCAGATGTAGCTCAGTATGAAAGCTCTGAGTTTGATCCTCAATTGAGAAAAAAAAAAAAAAGATAAAAGAAATCAGCAATGGTGTAAACCCCAGCTACTTGGGAGGCTTGAGTTTGATTCTAGACTGGGAAACTTAGTGAGACCCTATTCCTCTGTTTACTCTTCCATACTGCAAAATGAGTGAATAGAAATGTAAGCCATGCACATTCTTTTTTTTTTAGACAGGGTCTCACTATGTAGTTGAAATTGACCTGAACTCACTATGTAGCCCAGGCTGGTCTCGAACTCAAAGCGATCCTCCTGCCTCAGCCTCTTGAGTGCTGGGATTACAGTTGTGTGCCAACATGCCCGGCATAAGCCATGTACATTCTAAGTAGATTCTAACGAGTCATCTTCCTTTAATAACCTATTTCCTAAAAATAACAAGAGACAATGGGGTCTCAGTAGTAACAGTGGCATAATTCCAATTAACAGCCACTGGGACAGCCAGGGATTTAGCTCAGTGGCACTGTGCCTGCCTGGCAAGTGCAAGGTCCTGAGTTTGATCCCCAGTATCCACCCCCTCAAAAAATCAACCTCCCCCAACACCCCCAAACCCCCCAAACCCCAAAAAGCCACTGGGGTAATGTGAAGACCTAGTTTTTAAAAACAATATCCAATTCATCACAGACTAATACTTCTGTAAATGTAATCAATGCAAATCACAAGAACAATGAAGACAAAATATGAGTGCAAACATTATTATCAGATAGGACAGATCTGCTGGGTGTCCCAGCAATATGAAGCTGCTAATTTGAGAAGCTCACACCCAAATTTCTGATATGTTTTGCTTCGGTTCAATAACAGGCCACCAGACACACTTCAGACAGCATTGTCGTCCAGGATAAAATGGGAGTTTTAATAAGTAACTTGAAAGAAGAAAAGCGGAGGACAGCAAACCAAGGACAGAGAGACTCGAGTCAAGCATCTAAAAGGACATCAGGGTCTCTTCAGGCTCCCAATTTCAAACACTGCGAAAACCACTCAGCTGGTGAGAAATGCGCAGACTTCCGGGAAGTTTGACATAAAACTCCTTGAGTTTTGGGGGCATGAAAGTAAAATTAAAAGTTTTAGAAAGCATTCCCGTGATTCAGGCCTGGATGCTGACGTATTCTCAAGTTCTGTGGGAAGGGCTCAGATCAGCGCCTTGAGACCAAGCCGACCCTCAGAAACGCGCCTCAGTTCTCCATCTCCTGCAGTCTCAGTTTCCCCCAACTTGCCAGCCGCCTGCCCGTTGCTCAGCTCCCACTAGCTCATTGCTTGAAGGCCAGTCATGTTCTGTCCACCAGGCCTCTTGGTCCTCAGACCAGTGGTTCCTCTCAGGTCTTGATCTCAGTAAAACCTGTCCGTGGCTGTGGGCTCGATTCGTTTTTGTCCTAACATTTGGTGGCTCGTGTGAGGTGCGGTCTCCCACCTCTTTCTCCTCTCACCCTCCTCTTTTACACCCAGCGGGAGTGGAGTCCGGGACGGTGACCCTTGAGTCCATCACCCCAAAGACTGGCGGACGGGGAAGAGGCCACCATCACACGTGGCTTTCTGCTTCTTTCTCTGGCTCCACCCTGGGTCGCCACCGTGGACCGCATAAGGCAGCCCGTGGGGACCCGATCCCTGGTACACCAAGATGAGGGTTTTTACCGGCCTGCCCGTAGCTGAGATGCGCTTTCTGTTGGGGCTCCCATCTCTGTCTTATTATCTCTCCTTTTCTCACCTTCCTCATGAGCACCAGCCAACGGGGGAGACCAGTAGCCCTTTCCTGCTCGCTTTCTATGCCAACACCGGACACCTAACTCGGCCCAGGACTGGTAAGAGCCGCCCCACTACCTCCCCCTTGGCTAAAGCTTGCCCTAACCCCTGCCTCCCCCTAAGCATGCCCGACCTGTGGTCAGCGGGGTCACTGGAACATGGATTGTCCCCACAAGAACACCTTCTAGCCCCTCGTTCACGGCCCCAACCAGGACCGGAAGACCTGCCTCAGCTACCTGCTCTGACTCCAGAGGTCTGGAGGTGCCTCAATCCGCTGTCCCCCTGCCAAGTGAGTCCCAGGAACGGGGGTGACCGGGATGGTATCTGCTGAGGCTGTTTCTCTTTCCTTATCAACACTGGAACCATTTAACGGTCCTCCTTAAATTTCAGGGACCTTTTTCTTGTTCTCCTGTAGCCATAGTGGATGTAAAAGGGCTCCCCCCAAACCCTTCAGATTCTTCTCAAGGTCTGCACCACTGGGGAAACTACCCTATTACATCCCTAGTCATACCTAGCTGTCCTATCCCTTTGTGAGGTGGAGATTTGAGGTATCAGTTGGCCCTGTCGATGCCAACCCTCCCGGAACCTACTAGATTCCTGCTCCTTCGCCAGGAAAAACAGAAACGATGCCAGCTTAAAACTACTGTCACATAAAACCCCTCACCTATGGAGACACCTAAACAAAATTCCAATGCTGAGGATGTCTTTCTGCCTGCTGCCCGGCCCACTTCTGTCCCCCGTCTCCTTTAACCCAGGTATGGGGTGCTGTCACTCCCAAGCTGCACATCACACCCCTGTAAAAATTTCACTTAAGGATCTGGCTCACTTTAGCTCTGTGCACGATAACCCTCACCCCAGGGACTGCTGATCCTAACTAATTCCTGCTCACATGACCCCTACCCACCCAGTGAAAACAAAGAAACAACAACAAAACACCCAATGGTTCCTTTTGTCTGGATCAAGACCCTGGACAAATTAACCCAACAGTCAGCCCCATCCATCCAGCAGCTCCCAATCCCTGCACCTTCCTCTCCCAGGTCCCACCCCCACACGGCTCACTTTCTGGCTCTCGACCACGAAGGTGCTTTTAGTACCCCTTTGGCCCCACAGCCTGCAGTCTTTCCCCGTTCGCTTGGACGGCGCTGCCCCTCAGACCCTCACTCCCTCCTCCCCAGACCCGCACGTTCCTCTCTGGTTGAATCGGTGCCTTCGGACAGAGGTCATGACCTTTGTTACACTCCTGAAATGCGCTCACAGGGTCAACTGGCACTTCTCGTTGCTTTTCTCCTGGATTAAAGACGAGGAGTCCGCTCTTCATCCAGGGATGACCAGGAGTTCAGGTTTCACCCTGGGAATCAGTATTCCCAGGAGCGAGGCTTTCCCGGCCTACTAGAAACTCCACTGAGGTCCTGTCTAGTGTTTCTTCCTTTGCTTCTTTTGTGATGGGGACAAGCTCCCTCAAGACCCGCCCAACTCCCCTCCAGCCTGCCTCCTAAAGCACTGGGACCCACTGGGCCATCCACTCGATGCTCTCTGCAAGGAGAGATGATAGGAGACGATCCTGCGTGTCCAGCTTCCCTCTGGCTGCGCAGTACCCCGTTCTCCGTTCTCCTCCTCGCTCGATGTAACTCAAGCCCCTTTTTTCCGTCTGCAGCACTGGTATCACCCTCCTCCCCTCCCTGACCCAACCTTTGCTGCCTCAGGCCAGTTAGCGTCCCAACAGGACCGACAGTGACACCCCACTTCTCTGGCTCCGGGAACCTCCTCACTTCAACCCAACCAAAACACAGGGACCAGGAGCTGCCAAGGTGTCCCCTCCATCCGAAGGGCCTTTCCAATCTCTAACCCTTCTTCCTCCCGATTCTGCTCTACCTGCCATCAGATCTCTATCCCCAACACCAGTGTTCAGCACCACGCCTATAGCGCCCCAGTCCTTACTGCCGCAACACCTGGAATTCTCTAGCCACCTGGCAGGCAAAACAAAGCAAAAAGCGACCCAGTCCATGGCCCTCGTTCCTCATTTTCTATTCAGAACTCATGCTTGTCTTACATGACTGGCCTATTTTGAGAAACAAACGAACACACACTTATCTATGTGCCCCAACCCTCTTCCGGGGCTCCCCTGTCCTTTCTTGGAAACTCCCTTTTTACCCTGTTTTATTAATCTGCTTCAGAGGTTTCTCACCAACAGAATTACAGCCATCTCTCGGGCGGTCCACAGACCACCTCAGGACAGTCCTTCTCCAGACAAGGCGACTGGCTTCCCATTGCCCCCATCCGCAGAAAGCGGTCAGAGAACAAGATGGTACCCACTTCTCCGTATCTTACTGTAGAGCCTGGCATGGAGGAGGCAGGCTGGCGCCTCGAGACCCAGGCGACATTCAGAAACAGCCCTTGGTTCTCCAGCTCCCACAGTTTCAGTTTCTCCAAACTCACCAACCACCTGCCCTGGCTCAGCTCCCCCTGCTGCTCCCTCAAAGCTCAGTCACGCGCTCTCTATGGACAGCACTCGAGCTGCCAGCTGCCCGCGCGAAGGACAACCGCACCGGTCCACTCCCAACTCCACTTTTCAGCTTCCCCTCCTTAACCCTAAAAGACCCGAGTCTGTAAGACATGGGCGGCGTGGTCCTCACACGAGCAGGGCCCTCTCAGGTTTTAATCCCGGTGAAGCCTGTCTTCTGCTGTGGTGCTCGTTGCCCCTTTTCCTAACAGAACGATACATAGGTTTTGGTTCTAAATAATCCAGGACAAGAGAGTAGTTGGGATGCACGAGAAGCAAGGTTGGCCACCAGCAGGTCACTGGTGCTGAGGAATGGGTCCCCGGGGGTTGGCTGTCGCTCTCTGCTTCTAGTGCTTAGTACTGCACCAGACCACCATTCACGTACACAAAAATGGCCAGATGACTTCATATGGTTCAATCTAGTCTGCAGACTTAAAAGTTTCTGTGACAGGGGCTGGGGATGTAGCTCGGTGGTTCTGCCACCTGCTTCACAAGCACAAGGACCCGGGTTCAATCCCCTGTACCAAAAAAAGAAAAAAAAAAAGTTTCTGTGACAAAGGCCAAGTGCTCCTGAAAGACTCCAACATGCTGTCTCCAAACAGACTCAAGTCCAAGAGGGGGAAAAACCAACAAGTATTGTCAACATCAAACTTTGGAGCGGGAAAGGAACCAGGAACCAAAACCAAAGACAGCGACTAGCTCATAAATTATAGGCTGTGGTGTAGGATTTCTTTGTGGTCCTAAATGATAATAAATGCTGGATCCTATTTGTAATGGGATGCTTGTAGAGGTGAAGGAATCTTACCACTAAAAACTGAGAAGCGCAGTGGTGAAGATTTCAGCTGTAGGCAGAAGGTCTACTGGGCTAAACGTTAGCTGTGTAACCAGAGGGAAGTTATTGAACCGTTCTGAGCTTCACTTTACTCATCTCTATCAAGAGGCGATAGGGGCTGGGGATTTAGCTCAGTGGTTCCGCCGCCTGCCTTGTCAGGGCAAGGACCCGAGTTCGATCCCCAGTGCCAAAAAAAAAAAGTGTCTGCCTCAGCGATGTACAGTTAAAGACATGAAAAATGCAGGTTCTGAAGGTGGGTAGAATACGTGCTTACAGTCACGCGGCTTCAGAGAGCAGAGTGAACAGAACTATCGGTGCCACCCACTGGCTCTCAGGCACGGTCATGCTGCTCCTACAGGAATCTGGCAATGCCCGAGGAGATGTTTTTGATCCTCTTGGTCCTGTGTGCACCAGTGGGTGGAGGGTGGGGACCATGCTGGGAACCTGCACTTTTAAGGTACTCTTTGGTGATTGTCATGCTCTCCCGCCCAGGGACATCTTCCCGGCAGCAGCACCACGAAGGGAGCTGGTTAGAAGGGTAGACTCTCGGGTCCTATCCCAGAGCCACGGAATCAATCCGCATTAGCACAGCAGTGATCCCAGTACACAGGAGGTCTGAGCTGCCCTGGAAAAGTACGACAAAAGAATTTGATGATACTCAGCATTTTCATGTTTCTGATCTAACTACCAGTCACACGTTTTTAATCTATGGATGGCTTGCTGGGTGCAGACCTTTTAAATAAAGGCATGAAAAGTCACACTGGCTACAATAGATGGAACAAGTTTTAAGCAAAGGACCAAGAAGAGGTGGATTTTAGAGCTTTTATGCAGCTAGGAACCCTTTGGAAGGCAGCTGAATGGGTGCTCAGGGGATAGATGAAATAATATCTTTTCCACTTTAATACATCTTTGCAAACCATCAAAAAAATAAAAAAACACCAAAGCAAAACCCCCAAACCTTACAGCCAATTGTCCTCAAACACTAGAATCACCTAGAGGGCTTGCTACAGCACAGGGGCTTGGGTTCTACGCTAGGGTTCCTGATGAGAAGGTCTAGGGTAAAGTCGGTAATTTTATTTCTAATAAGCTCTCCATTGTTGCTGCAGCTATCTAGGGATCACACTCTGAGAATTTCTGCTGGCTGGGAAAGCAAGAAACTGGCTCAGGGCTGAAGATTCAGCTCAGTGGTTCAGGTGCCTGCCTCGCAAGTGCAAGGACCCGAGTTTGATCCCCGGTACCAAGAAAAGAAAAGAAAAGAAAAAAGAGAAACTTGCTCAAAGATGCTGAAGGTTACAGGGCTCGGTTTCCATCTGATGGGAATCCACCCTTAACCCTGGTCTGCAGCCCATGGCTCTGCCTGTCTGCTCCTGGCTCTGGCTGTACATTGCTTAGTACAAACAATCATGTATTAAAGCTAAAACCCACTCAACTCTTCAGTGTTTTTAATTTACAGGACCAAGTCAGATGGAACACTGAAATTAAGTCAATTAATTAATTAATGCGGTATTGGGGGATTGAACTCAGGCTTGTAAGGCAGGAGGCAGTGGCACCACTGAGCAAAATCCCGGGCCCTGAAAACTGAAATATAGATAAGGTATTGTACAGCTCAGTGGATTAAGGAACTGACTGGAAAGCCAGCTAGTAAGTTACAAATCCCATCCTGTCCTTTATTAGCTGTGCGGTCCTCAGTGGGTTACTCAAGTTCCCTCTTCCTCAGTTGTCACATCTGTAAAATGGAGGTTATGGTCCCTGTCTCAGGCTCACATGAAAGTTAAATTTGTTAGTATAGGTAGGAGAAACTTGTGCTGGATACACATATCATGGCTAGATACACATATTAGTTTCATGCACTGGTGCCCTCACACAGTGCAAAATTCCAAGGCGAATCTGAAAGGAGGCAAAGGCTCAGGTGGGTGGAAACTATCAAACTGTACCCTACACTAAGAAGTACCCAGGTAGAGCCTCTTACGAAGGTGAAAGAGGGGCCTGCAGAGAAACCTCACCTGCGGACATTTAGGAACCCAAGGTCAGCGGGAGCCACCCCCTCCAGGTAAGCCAGGGAATTCCCGAGTCTGGGCGTGGCCAGGTTTGACAGAGGCCAGTGGTGCTGCCAGTAACAAGGCTGCTGGCAAATAAAGAGAGGCTCAACCTTACAACAGAGAGGCGGCCCCTTGTTTAGGGTCAGAACCCAGGCGCAGGGTACCTCCGCGGGGGAGATGGCCTGTCCCTGGCAGCACACCCACCCGAACACACAGCGCTTCTCCCGGGCCCACAGCGCCTCCTACAGCTGCTCCAGGCGTCTGGCAGCCCCATTGGCCGAAATTATCTCTGAACCCATCCCCTGGCAATTCGGCAATTCCCTGCTATAATCACTTCCCCGACGGGGTCAGCATCCCGCACTTCCCAGCTCCCTCCATTGGCACAGTGGTCTAAGGCCCTGGAGTTCCAACCCACGTAAATTCACTCTAGGCCTGGGACACAGCGGCCGACACGGTATTTTGCTTGTGGCAGGCTTTCTTTTTAACCCTTAAAAACACCAACGGTTACTCTGGAAGAGTTTGCATTAGCCTCGGAGAAGTGTGGTCCTCAAAGTCCTGCGACAGCCGGTCGGAGAGGAGAGGAAGACCCAGCTCCGAGGCATGAACTGCCCTGGACCCCAAGGACACTTCCACCTCGCCACACCCGGCAAGCGCGGGGAGAAGAGGAGAAAGTTGGGGAGAAGTCCCCAGGGCTTCCCTGAGCTCAGGAAAAAGGAAAGGCGGCGAAGAGAAAGTAGCAACCCAGTCTGGTCCGGCTTTAGAAGTGCAGATCCCGCAGCCCCGCCCCCCGAGATTCCAATGGGGGGCGTGTGCCCGAGGGGGCCGAGGAATGTGGCTGTTCGGAAAGCTCCCCTCCAGCCGAAGATCCCCAGACCACAGCGGGGTGGTGGCCCGGGGCCTTAGGGTGTCCGGGGTTCTCCAGCCCCGTCCTACCCAGGGCCCAGGGGCGGCCCGGAGGAGCCCACTGCCCCGGACCCCGCCCCCAAGGCGCCCACGTTTCTCAGGGCAGAACGCAGAACCCCTACTGGGGCCCACGGTCCCCACCAGGTCTCGGCCCTCCGGACTTCTCGCTCCGCCTGGACCGCTGTTCCCTCGCACCCTCAGGGTCCCCGCGCGGGAGACCGTCCCTGCACATTCCACCGGAGACGCCCCCGCCCCATACCTCGTCTCCCCACTTGTGCGTTTTCCTGGCCCTCATCTCGAACACACTGTACGTTTTACCAGTTTATCTCGATGGCCGACTCTCTCCGCCGGATCACACTCTCCGGAGGACCCGACTCTTCTCCCTCCTGTCCCTCGCTCCCTCCCTCCGCGGCCCCTAGAGGTAGGCTGGACACCGGGTGGGAACAGAGGATTTCCCAGATGCAGTTCCATCCAAGGCAGGGTCTCCCGGAATGCTCACCTTCCAGGGGCGCAGCCCAAGCCGGGGCCAGGAGGACTCCGGAGCCCGACGCCCGAGCACAGCCTCCGAGGGGGGCTCGGAGCATCCTTCCCGCGTGCTCCGTGCGCTCGGGGGAGCTGCCTGGTGCCCCGGGCGGTGGAACTTACAGAGGTGTAGTTCCCAGGGGCGCCCGGGTCCGAG